ATTGTTGATTATCATATCATTAATGTTCAATAAATTCTTAATAAAACATTAAAAAAAAATCTAAGTTTTATATGCCAAAAAGCATAAAATGAGCCATACTTACTATATAGCATATACATATGAAACATAGCACACATAAGATACATGCATACATATGTAAGGAGGATCATATGAAAAGAAAATGCACTGTGAAGCAAATTCCCTTTAATTACATCCACTAAGGAGGGTATGTGCTTGGCAGTGCTGGTTAGTTTGTATATCAGATGGTTAGCAGGATAATTCAAAAAGTTATGAACAGATTTTTATTAAATTCTTATGTGCGTCTTGGCCCCACTTAGTTGTGGATCCAAATTTGTTAAAGGATTCATGAGCATTGCGAGATAGGGAAATGTGGATGTCACCGGTGGACTTATGAGCAACAGAGAGAGAGAGAGCAACAAAGAGAGAGAGAGAAAGCGGCGTCCAACTTCCTCGCAGTGTTGCCTCCTCAGCGGCAGCCTTTTTTTCGTTGAATAATTCATTTTTCTATTGTAGTTCGTTTTTTTTTTGGGGGGGGAGGGGGGTCTTTTTTATTGGTCTTGATTCATTTCCAAAAGCTTTTACGCTTTATTTAAGTTGTTTGTTGCTGTTTCATGTGTTTGGAATTTGAGCTGAAGATGTTTTTAAAGAGAGAAAGACATGCGATCGCTTTACTTTAGATAGTATTTATCCTTTACAGTTATTCTCATTCTTATATTTATTCTTTACAGTTATTCTCATTCTCTTCTTCTTCTATATATATATATATATATATTATATATATATATATATATATATATATATATATATATATAATATATATGTATGTATGTATGTATGTATGTATATATACATATATACATACACACACACACACACACACACACACACACACACACACATATATATATATATATATATATATATATATATATATATATATATATATATATATATATATATATAATATATACACATATATATACACATATATGTCGGTGTGTGTGTGTGCCTGTGTGTATTCTCCTCTAGTGCTCTGCCCTATAAGTTTTTTTGAGGCGTCCCCCTTTTACACGAGATTGAGTGCCCTTTCTGAGATGTCTGTGAGGGTAGGCTGGACACCGTCAGAACAGATCATGTCACAAGCGAAATGACTGGAGTCGACTGTCTCGTAATAATATCAGTGATGATAATAGATAGATAGATAAATGAAAACAACTAAAACTTTCTTTCCGGCTAAAATATCGCTGTTTGGGCGATAATCTTCGAAATCTATATAAAGATACTGTGTCCGTGGTATCCATACTAAGCGATTATACAGTATGTTATTTATATCCAATTACAATGAAGATATACGTGCGTCTTTGTCCGACCACCTCTCCTCTGCACGGTAAATGTGCCTCACCATAAGCCACAAGAATTACTGATTTCACAACGCTTCATACTTCAATACATCGCTGACCAATAGGAACTGAGTCAAAGCAATAGTTGGAGGCGTGAGACGAGGATGGAGTTCAATTTCAGTTTATTTGTCGGGCTAATAAGTATGATGAAGGTCATGGATTAAAAAAATGAAACTTAAAATGAAAACAAGAAGAAACGCCGCTTTCATCAATAATACCTGAATCTAACAAGACATTGATAATGTATAAACAAGCGAGACAAGTAAATAGATAGTTTCTTGCAATCAGTCGACCCTCAAAATCTTGTTCGGGTTAATTACCAAAGGAGAATGGGGCAGTCCCTGATGCGTCGCACAAAAACATACACAAACGCCGTTCACAGAACACGTGCACTCGGTGCTAAAGCAGTGATTCCAACTCGGGGATCGCCGAGGCTTCGCCAGCGAAGGGAGTCGCGGCCTCGGGGCGAATAATGTCGGCTGCTTTGCTAGGCGACTGGCAGTCGTGAAGGACAAACTAGGGACATGTTATCAAGGAACATTGGATTACAATTATGTAAATAGCGACTGCTTCATTTTCTTTTTCGTTTACCTTTGAAATATGTTCTTAGAAAACATAAATGCAACGGATTATATCGGGGGGTCCAGATGGTTCGAGAAAGGGATCATGAGAGGAAAGAGGTTGGAAACCCTGTGCTCGTGCGTTCATAAGAGTGAAGTGAAGCGTTGCCACTTAGCAATATAAATAAGATACTCTTTATACATATCCGGTCAATGTATAAAGTTGCTTTTCTGTATGTACACCGGTTAGATACTAACTAAACCTGATTTAGGAGAGTCAGGCTATTCTCGCCCTCACTTCGTGGCGCAAAAATACACCATCCAGACTCCATTTCCTGGTTTAGTCTCACACATAACCGTATAGATGAAAATCGTCCCAGAACAGGTGGAACAGTCTCTTCAAAGTTTCGCTCGTTATATCGTCAAAATATAAGACGTATGAAGACGGGTCGAAACCCGCGCTGCCGAAGACCTCCTCAATCTGGACGTCTTGTGGAATCCTCGTGGCGCGCAGAGCCT